AGATGGGCCTGGGGGGGGGACAGAGACAGTGAGGGGGGGGCCGTGGGGTGCAGCCTTGGCCCCCCCGTCCTGCTGGACCCTACCTGGAGGTGCTTGATGAGCCCGCTCCAGCGGCAGCCCTCCTCGCTGTGGATGCAGCGGATGGCCAGGCTCAGCACCTGCGCCTCCAGCTCCGGGTCGGGGTAGATCTGGGGAGGCAGCACCGGCACATCAGCATCCCGCACCGGGCTGCGGGGGCACACGGACCCCCCCCAGCCTGGCTGGGAGCCGCAGGCATGCTGCCCGGGGCCGGATCCCCCCCGCCAGCACACGAACAAGCGCCCTTTGTCAAGAGTGGGTTTCCGTTCCCTGGCCCCGCGGCACAAAGGGCTCTTGCTTCCGCACGGGCGGCTGTGCCAGGCTGGCGCGGCTGTGCCAGGCGAGTGTGCGGAGCCCGGGGCTGGCCCCTTGGTGGGGGGCACAGGTGACGGGGACGTTCCCTCGGAGCGGGGTACCCCAGCCACATGCTGGGCTCACCTTGGCATAGTCCAGGGGCAGCTGGTCCTCCGGACACTTGAAGACGCCTTCGCTGCAAGACACAGAGCAGGGTCAGGATCACCCGGGGCTGGGGAACAGTGTGTCACTGGTGACACAGCCACGATGTCCCATGGGGTCCCCGCCATCCCACCCCAGGACGTCGGCGCTGCCCCTCTGCTGCTGAGTGCTCACCCCGCACCAAATCCAGCTGCGGCCCTCGGGGAGCCATGGCCCTCGGGGAGTGCGGTGGGCGGTGGGGGGGCAACAGCTAGATGTGCAGCCCAGACGCATGGCCCCAGGTCTCCCGCTTCGCAGGAAACAGCCCCACAAACCACCGCGGTGAAGCAGGACGGGGGGTAACAGGCAGCCGCCCCGGAGGGGTCCCCCTCCCACTGGGCCCCCAGGACAGGGTGCTCCCCCCCCGAGAGCCGTCCCCGAGGTGGGAATGGCCCTGCTCAGCCCTGAGCTGCGGAGGGGCAGCGTGGGGTGGAGGGACGGGGCTGGAGCCGAACAGGCAGCGTGGCCCATGACACGGCTGGCCAGGAGCCACCATCACCCCTGGCCCTCACAACACCGTGCCCGGGGACAGACGAGGGTGGCACCCCACACGCCACCCCTGATGGACATTGGGGTGGGAGGCCATGGGTGCTGCCCACAGGGACACACAGCAGGGACACGCAGCGACCCCAGGGCTCTGGTGTCCCTGAGGTGGCTCTGGACGAGGCCACGAGGTTGCCCTGCCCGCACACAGCCCCTGCACGTCTAATCACCGCGCGCCCTTGGCAGGCACCGGCGCGGCCTCGACCGGGGCTGCCAAGTGGATGCGAAACAGCGTGACGGAGCCAGCAGTGCTGCCTGGCACACGCTGGCCTGGGATGCCCGGGCACGGCGCAGTGATGTCCCCTGCAGCCACCACCCCTGTGCTGGGGGGCCAAGCGACACCCAGGAAAACCAGCCCCGTGCTGGTTTGTGGGGTGTGACCCCCGCGGGGCACAGCCGCATCCAGCCCTGCCACGTGCCCGGTCTGTTTGCAGTGGGTGTTTCTGCAGGAGTCACCAGGTACCTGCCAAGATAAGCTGCTCCCGGCCGGGGCCGGGCACCCAGCCCTTTCCGGGGAGCCCACAGCTGGCATCGCCCCACAGCTGGCATCGCCCCACCGCTGGCATTGCCCTGCCAGCTTTCCGGGGGCAGCCGGCCCTGCCTGCATCCCGTGCGTGGTGTCGGGGTGCCGGGGCTGGCGGGG